GATCGGTTTAACATGTCCAGCCCGCAACAATTTTTCTACCTCTTTCTCAATGACCATGTCGAGCTCATGCCCGAAGTGTCTGCGTTTTTGCTTCACAGGCCTCATTTTCTTGTCCACATTGAGGCGGTGGACTGCCAAGCGGGGGTCTATACCAGTGAGCTCCTCGGGGCTAAAAGCAAAGATATCTACAAACTCCCTCAGCGTTCGCACCAGCTCTCCCCTGATGTTATCTGGTAGGTCTCTTCCTACTCGGGTCGTCTTCCCCTCTACTCCTTCTATTAGCTCAATCTCGAGTAGCTCATCTCGGGTGGCGATGTCCACTTTCACTTGCTTTTCAGCTTGCCCTACGATCTCTTCGGCTTTCCTTTTTATCGACTGGCCCTCTTTGATGGTGACTTGATAGCAGAATCTCGCCATCTTTTGATTGCCCTTTACCTCTCCTACTTTTCTTCCCACTGGGAATTTCAACTTCCGGCAATAGGTCGATACTACTGCCCTGAAGATATTAAGGCTTGGCCGCCCCAAAATTACGTTGTATGCTGACCCAGTCTCTACAACTAAGAACTTGATCATCTTCACCTGCCTTAGGGGTGTTTCCCCCAATGCTACGGGGAGAACGACTTCGCCAAGGGGGACTACCTCCGCACCACTAAAGCCATATAGGGCCGTTTGCACCGGCTGCAGGGGTAGGTCTAGCTTCATCTTATCGAGGCAGTGTTTGAAAAGTATGTCGACTGAGCTTCCCGTGTCCACAAAGACACGTTTCACATCAAAGTTTGCTATCTCCGCTGTTATTACTAGCGCGTCATTGTGGGGCGCCGCAACACCCCCTAGGTCCGCAGCGCCAAAGTGGATAAGAGGTATCTCCTCCGCCAATTGGACCTCCTCTCTCATATGTTCCCCCGCTGCTCTCACATGCCTCCGCCTTGCCCGGTTTGAATCTCCATCTGTCGGACCCCCGGAAATCATATGGATCACCCCTTTTTTTCGCTGGTCCTTATCAGGTTCCTCACGGTCCTCTCGCCCCCGTTTATCATTCTCCTTTCTCCCTCCTTCCGGGTCTTT